TTTTGTTTTTTCAAAAACTGACATTTTTGTTGGTTTAAGTTTTAAGTTTGCTTTCTGTAACCTATCATAACTAAGCATATTTTTCAATGTATATATTTATTTATTCGTACCATTCATAGATACAATCAGTACGGTTACAGACATGAGTAGTTATAGAGATAATTAATATGTACACAGGTGGGAAATAACGATATTTATATCTACCCTATAGTCACCTCCTGATGTCTCCCTGAAACGGATAAAGTCTCTAATAGCACTGGCTCTTTGGCCAGTCTGGGGCTTTTTACATCGAAGAAATCTCTGTAAAGATTCCTGGTGAAGATTGTATTTAGAACAAATTTGACTGACTGAATTCCCAGCAGGAGATCCACTGCCATTTAGAGCAATTCTATAGCATAATCTGACTAGCTCATTTTCAGATGAAAGGCACGATTGTCTTATGATCAAAATCCCAAAGATTCAATCCATATGAACACATACAATATGTTTTAAACAGACTGTATCGCATGTCATACGAACAATGTGAAAATTTAGATAGTAACGAATTAAATCTCTGGTACACATCATTCACACTTTTCTGAATTGAATTTACTCTGTAATTAAAGGCGAGGTAATGACCAAGGTGTACAGCTGAATCGCTTAATGGAACCATCATGACACAGAACAATGTAGGCTGTTCTAAATTATCATTAGTAACAGAAGTAGGACACAATTGCAAGTTAACACTGTAGTCTCAACTTAACTTTGTGATATTCAAAAGCTGTTGTACATTTTCTATTCAAATACTTGCCACTTTAAAAACTGAAAAGTCACAATTGTGGCTCTTGTCAAATATAATCTTTGGCCCTTTATCTCTTCTACTGCACATCACTTATTTAGGTTCCTTCCACTGCTGACAGTTGCATTTTCTGGGAAGATTTGATTACATTCTGTGGTACATTCTATCATGTAGAACACTTTGTACACAGGATTGTGTTTTCTTTGTTATGTACTGTAGCTGAACTATGTTCTTTTTGTTTACTGTGATGATGCGTCATAGTTACGTTCCTGGTGATATGTTAGCATAGACCATCATACCTATTTTAAAAATTGCAGAATGACTCAGGTAATTATAGGATCATTCCCTTAAACAGCCAGTTAAGTAAACTTTTTGAGCTTGCAATATTAGAAATGAATGCTCAGTCTCTGGTTACAACCAATGTGCAATTTGGTTTTAAGCAGAAATCTTCGACTACACGGTGTACTTTTGCTGTACAAGAAATAATTCAGTATTACTTAAGTAATGACACGTTCGTGTTTTGCATGCTTCTATATGCGAGTCAGGCTTTTGACCGTCTCCAGTATATTGAACTGTTTAAACTATTACTTGACAAAGGTTTATGTCCTTTAACATGAAGAGTACTGTTACTTATGCATACAGGACAGGTGGTGCAGCTTTACTGGGGAGATATTTTTTCAGATTCAATATCTGTGTCCAACAGTGTCGTTCAAGATGGAATTCTATTGCCTGTGCTTTTTTCTATCTATGCTGATATGTTACTTACTGAGCTATATAACTGTGGTCAGGGTTGCTACATTGGTAGAACATTTGCAGGATGAGAACTGGGTTATTGAATATGTTGAAAATTGCTAAACAAATAGGCAAGGACCTTAACATTAAGTTCAGTCCAGCAAAATGCCAGTTTTTGAAATTCAGTAATCATCACATGTTGACCAACATTTACTCTTGTGTAATAGAAATGTTGTTCTACCTTACTAAAAATGTATTTAAAAAAAGTTATAAGATTTGTGCAACAGGTCTGATTGATGATTCATATCTGACTGTACATCTATTTTGAAATAAAGTTTTTCTACAACCAAACCTTATCAAATGAGTAGAGTAGAGTAGAGTAGAGTAGAGTAGAGTAGAGTAGAGTAGAGTAGAGTAGAGTAGAGTAGAGTAGAGTAGAGTAGAGTAGAGTAGAGTAGAGTAGAGTAGAGTAGAGTAGAGTAGAGTAGAGTAGAGT